TAAATCTTGAAATTTTGCTTAAGTATTTGCTCATTTATCGATTAGGTCGATTAGGAATTTAGAAAATGTCTTAAGACTGAACTTACGGGAGTCTTTAAAATCAGAATCGACTATTAATATCTAATTTACTACGTTGTATGTGTATGTACATACAAGCATTTGTTCACTCTATGCAAGACATATTTTTCATCTTTTCTAACCGCATCCTTCGACCTAAATCTGTAATCTGAAGTGTAAATTCAATGCGACCTCCTCATTATATGCTTTGGTACTACGTAATACGTGTAACGCTAATACCGGTGGTATTTTTCCAAATTTCGGTGAAAAGAATCTAAACTGTGCAGACCAGTTAGCCGTCCGTCACAGCGTATACCTATACTACTGCTCGCCAGGCTAACCAGGCAAGCGGCGTAGTGCGTGGCGCTGCCGCGAGATGGACTCTTTTCTCGTAAGAAGAAAATGTTTCGGATCCCTATAAAAAGGCATATGCAGAGCGAGCCGATCCCCTGGTTTGGGGTTTAGACTTTTATGTTATTTGTTTTGTGGTAATATTTTAAGCTAGGGATGTGCGATTCAATCAAAAAGATCGATTTTTTAGATCAATCTGAATCATGACTGCAAAAATCGATTCATGAAAAAATCGAGCGATAAAAAATCGATTTTCAAAAAATCGGTCTTTTAATCTAACCTTCCATCCAAATCCAAGCATTCCAAGCTAGACCAAATGAACTTATCGCTTGCGAGGGTTTAATTATTAACTAAATATACGAAATTATACAAATTTATTATTAGAACTTGAATTAAATTAAAATTACATAGAATATCTGAGAGATAGATAGTTAACGCATTGAAACATTTTCTTACAACTAAATTAGAACGCAAAATTTAATTATCATATAAGGCAAAATTCATATATTATATAAGGGAACATTTAGGTTAATTTAAAAAGTTCCATAAAAAACGATTTCTATCGGATTATTTAAAGCAGGATTTACGTACATATTTGTACATAAAAACGTTGAAGTAAGAGTAAGTGTCGTAATATATATTTTTTATAATGTGCAATTGGTCCTTAATTGTCAATAAACAGTTATTCAAGTGCCAGCTGCCAATCCGAAAACTTTAAAGAACGTAAAAATAATAATTCTGTTAAATGTTCCCCCGTAATTCTATTTCTATTGTCACTCATTATATTTCCAGTGCATGAGAACATTCGTTCAGACGGCACAGATGTTGTAACAGCCGACAAATATTTTAAAGCAATGAAGGATAAGTTTGGTGCGGAATTTTTTTGTGAAATCCAAAACTTAATTGGATCAGCGTTCAGTGGAAGAACATTTTGACTGAAGTAATATTGTAAATCAATATGTAGGAAAGATTCTTCATTACAGCTCAATTGAGTTTTGGATTTGTTTACTAAATCGTAATGAAAATTCCATAAGCTTGATTCTTCAATTGCACTGTCAACGTTTGGTTCATTTTCTATATCGCTGGCATTCTTTTCTACATTAAGTTCGCGTAACATATTATTAATTTTAAGCAAAACTGAACTACACGCTAATGCATCCCGAAAATGAATTTTTTTAAACCTTGGATAGAGTATAGTTGCAAATGCTAAAAGATTTTGTTTTTCAATAGATTGAAACCTGTTTTCAACTTTGCTCAAAAGATAGTTTTTAAGTTTTTTACTAACATCGGATTCTGGTTTTAATTCTGTTAATTGATTTCGTAAGCAATGAATCATAGGAATTACTTTGCTGCATGTAACAAATTTCTGACCGGAAATTTCTTTTGTTATAACCTCGAATGGTTTTAACAATTTTAGAACTTCTTGAAGAATAGCAAGTTCAAAACCAGATAGCATTGGCGGGGATTTTTTAAATTTTAACATTACTGAACTTACAGGATCACTTAACAAAACAAATCTTTCGAGCATATAATATAGAGATGACCATCGCGTAGACACTTCTTGAATTAATTTTAATGGAGCATTAGATGCATTTAAATTTTGCGCGTTACGAAATTCATCGGCTGCTACCACACTGTGTTTAAAGAAAGTAACTATCGCCTTAACTTTATCAATTATGTCTTTTAAATCAGATACTTTTTCGCATAATTTTGCAGGAACGAGATTCACGGTGTGAGCAAAGCAGGGTAATTGTTTATTTTTGCCAAATAAGTCTCTAACAGCTGCAGTTATGTTCGAAGCGTTATCTGTAACGACAGCGTGAACATTTGAAAGATCTATAAGCCAATCATCACATATCATTTTCATTTTTGCTGATAAGTATTCGGAAGTGTGACGTTCATCTAATTTGAAAACTCCGATCGTAACAGAATCAAGTTCCTCATTATAAAGAAAATGTGCGGTTAAACCTAAAAAACTGACTGTGTTCATTGTTTCTGTCCAAACGTCGGCAGTAATTGTTACATTTTTAGCAGTAGAAATTTTTTGTTTAATTATTGTGGATAAAATCTCATATTTAGATTTAATTGCATTTGTAATCTGTTTACGACCAGGCAATTTAAAAAGAGGACACGCGATCTTACAAAAATATGCGAAACCTTCCTTGTCAACGGTATTTAACGGTAAATTATCCTTTGCGATCATGAAAGTAATTGCATTGATGAGTTGTGCTTCTTTCTTTCCTCCAACTGCAATCATTATTTTATTTAAGTTCGAATTTTACAAATGTATATTTTAGAAATTTTATTAATTAATATTGATATATTAAGAATCTATTCACCTTCAAAAGACTTTATTTTCTCGAGGGATCTATCAATTCGTGGTTGTATTGAGTGATTGCCATAAGACTTCGATGTCTTAGCATTCTTAAATCGCTGCTTTTGTACCGATGCAGTTGATTGGTTAGGGATTACTGCTTCAGTCTACAAAAAAATTTGTAATTACTAATTACTAAATGAAGATAGCATTTATAATGTTAAAATGTTTTTAAAATTATTTAAATTAAAAAGTTTTAATTTATTTTTATATGAAAAAAATCGTTTTCCAAACATTGTAGACAGTGCAGACACATAAACATTAGTTATACACACAAGAGTGTGTATATCTCCCATCCATCTCCCATCAATAAATAAATTAATACATATATTAAATTTCCTAACCTGCATTGAATTCTCTGCTTTTTCGCTGCTTTGTACAATTGAAGGATCATCAATATCAATTGAATCATCCATTGCTGTGGATTCCACGTTTACATATTCCGTAGAATCCACAGTAGCAATTGACACTTGCGTTTCTCTGTTATATGGAATATTTTTATGATGGCGCAGTAGGTGATTTTTTAAATTAGTAGTTCCACCTGATGCTACATTTTTATTGCATATTTTACAAACTCCTCCGTCTGTTGTTTTAATAAAAAAAGTCCAAACTTTGCTTTTTGGTGGCACTGAAATACATGAAACGCATAAATTAATATTAAAAATGGATAATATCGTAATATCTTAAATTCAAAAAATAGGAAAGATCGGAAGAGCACACGTCTG